AAAATATCAACCAAGTAGCAATATTTAGTTTGGAGAACTATTTTTCTCTAAAAGATTGTGTAAAAACAATTAAAAAAATTAATAAAACTTCTCAACTACGTTTTAGTGTTAGTCATATTTCTAATGAGAGAAAAGTGAAATTATCTGATTATCAAACCCATTTATCCAAAATGGGGGTGCTATCAATTAACAATTCACTCATTAAAGTGATTATGGACAAAACCAAGAGAGTTGCAACCTCTGAATTCAAACAGAATGTAGATACCAAGATTATACAGACCCCAGCAGTAAATAGATTAGAAAATGGAATGCAAGACCATGAGTTTGTTTTTATCTTTCGAATTTTTCGTAAAGCTTTCATCGAAAAAGGCAAATATTTATACACTTCGAAAATAGTAGAGTCAGTATTACAACCTGCTCACTATCATTATAATAGTAAATATGTATTCTACAATAATAAATAAATTTTAAACTAATTAACTCACCTAATTATAGAAGAGGATAAAAGAGCATTGTTAATAAAGAATGGTAGAGCAACAGAACCTCACGAATTAAGCACACTAGAGCTGAAGAATGAAATATCAAAATTTTATTGTCACTATCAAAGTGCGGATAAATTTAATGGAAATGAAGATGAAGCTAATAGACAAGGTAAGATCAATGCTATACATGTATTTATGTAGATAATTTTTGAATTCACTTGTTGATTTTTATATAATATCTTACCATCTGATAAATTGATTTTTATTAGAGTATTTAGGATTGTATTCGAACATTGCACGATTTTTGAAATATATATTATTTTCAAAAAAAAACACAGTGAATCCCCCGGCCGTACCTCAGCGTCAACATGTACGTGCTGTTGCTCAAACTCTTCAGCCTGCTGTCGTTCAAGTTCTTCAGCCTGCTTTGACTCAATCTCCTCAGCCTGCTTTCCCTCAATCTCCTCAGCCTGCTTTGACTCAATCTCCTCAGCCTGCTTTCCCTCAATCTCCTCAGCCTACTTTCGATCAATCTCCTCGGTCTGCTGTCGTTCAGGTCCATCATCCTATTGGTGTCAATGAGCTTTACCAACTTCCTGCTAACAATGGAAATACGTTATACTCACAACCAATGTATTCTAATCAATTTGATCCAAATACATTTAGATTAGTTGACCACTCTGTTTACACGACCAATAATAGTTTATACATAGCTGGGCAACTTCAATCCCAGCACCCTCAATATAATAGCATTGGTACTGTACCAGTCAACAACTCTAATAATACAGCTCTAATTCAACAATCACCAGGTACAACAGATGATTTCGATTCATCTCAGTCTTCACAAGAGAACTATCATGGAGTGGGAGGTTCGACAATTGTAACAACACCTAGATTACCAAATAGACAATTTACATTCCATCCATACCAACATACACGTTATTAAAATGAAATCTTTGTTTCTTATTCATGACGCGTATGTCCACCGACAACATCGCTGACATTCACCAGGAGTTGGTTAGTCCTGCGCGTGACTCCAAGGATCATTACCGTCGCGCGTATCGACTACGATCACTATATATCTCTTGTAAGAAGATTTTAATAAAATAATTATAATAAAAACACAATTTTTTGACACCATCATACTAGTTAGATATTAATATATTTATTTATTCACAGTGTTTATATATTTAAAAAGATCATAATTCAAACTTTAATTCAATTAAATTAATCGAAACCAATTGGAATTTAATTGTAAAAAAAAAATTTATAAATTTTAATATTTAAGTACCGTGTAAATGATACCAAAGTCGATTTTAGTTTATTTCTTTTTTTGCATTGTTATCAATAATAAAAAAATAATCCTTTCCATATCCCAATAAAATGTCATTCCATAATTCGATCTTGTTGCGGAGTTGTTGTGCACTTATAAAAACTGTCTGGTCAGTTTGTTGATAAAACTTCATATTCTTGTTTGTTAAATCAACTATCTTGTCGATGTATGAAGAACTGTTTTGTTGGATCTCTTGTTGCGATAGGTTTTTAAATAGATTGTTGTGTAAGCGTATATTTCTAGTTTTCATTATATTAGAATTTAAATCCTCTACTTCTCTATGGTTTTTAACCTATTACAAAGTATATTATACAGATTTGTTGTTAGTTACATTTTATACAAATTACAAATTTGTTGGATTTCACAATTAATTAAGACATACCTCTAAGAAAACTTGCTCTTTCTCACCAAAATACTTTACTATCCATATGCTAACTATGTTACAATAAACAATAATTGTTTGAACATCATTTGCATTCCTCCTTATGGTAGTGCACGTGTAAGCACAATGGTGACCATTTGGGTGTCTATTGGAGTTTGGTTTATGTTGAGGTATACCATATACTTTAACACCTTTCAATACTTGGTCACCATTGATATGAATTGACTTTCCTTTTGTAATAGAGGTGATCAGTTTACCATTTGAATAGTATGTAAATAGAGCCTGTATCTGAATTGGGAATTCACTTAATTCTTTGGATAAAGATTTGTTCGATATTACAGATTTATAATGATGAACAAAAATGTCACTACGATCATATTTCCACAAGTTGGATGTACCGCTTAACAAAAAACTATAACGTTTTAACATAAATAGTAAAAAGAATTTACTTCGATTTTTACCATTGGATGTATTCTTTAAATTTTTAAAGTTAGTATCTAATTTTTAATTTTCACAGTTATTATAAAACCATACACCTTCTTTTTCTTGCATACACTGGTGTATTTGCTCCATCACATCTACATTTATAATACTGTCCTTAGTTGGATGACTAAATAGTTGTATATCTTCATACAGATGGGTTAGAAGGTGGAAGTTGGGGAAAACTTTACCGTGTGGAAAATCTATTTCTAAATTTTCATTAGCATCATCTTCATCTTCGTCGTCTTCATCAAAACAAACGTCATCAACATCTTCATCTTCGTCCATAACAACCACCTCTTCAGTTTCTTTAGTCTCTTTCACTGATTTAAACGATTATAATTAATATTCCTTTGTGATATAAAACCAGTGAATCATTTCTCTTAATTTTAATTATAAACATACTTTTTTTTTTTTTTGAGTATCCAGAGTCTTTATATTTAACATACCATCTAAAATATTGTTGCTGATGATCTTTTATCATAGTACCTACTTGATCAATATCTGCTTGTATCTTAAGATCTGAATAGTTCATAAAACAACAGAGTTTCTCAAACAATATTATAACATTAATCAATTCCTAATCATATAAATTATAATTGTTAGTGTTTATATATTTTATTAATTAAATAATTTTATTATATAAATACCAAAAATAAATTCAGTTTATCAATAGAGCTATATTTTGGAATGATTTTTGGTAAAGCCAATAATATTCCTCTTGATAGGGAAAGCACCAATGATTTGTGCTCGTATCCCCTAAATGATTTGTGTACATATACAAAATCTTTAATTCTGACTCCGTAGGCTGGTGGATGACTACGGAACACCATATCCAATTGTTCCCTCTGCCCTTTATTCAACAAAGATAAAAGTCTAAAGAGAGTATTAATTAAATTGCATTCATATGATTAATATACATGTTATACATACTCGGTAACATGTCTTTTGTTTATACCAAGATATAACAAATGAAGAGGATCGATAGCACTCTGCAGAAACATATTGATCTTTTTATTTAGAAAAATAGATGCTAGATGATTAATTATTAATTAATATTTCCTTAAAATAATGCATTCACATGATGTATTTGATATATATTTACAATTATTTTGTAACAAACCATATGATTCTCGTTTATCATTTGATAAACGTAATGCTTGTATGTTTGTTTTAACTGTACTGTTGACGTATGTTTTGTATTCCACCTCAAATCCATTTATATTGCTTTCAACTGATACAGGTTCCTCTAAAACTTGACATCTGCATTTATATTTGCATTCCGCTCTTCTGCAAGCATTTGCCTGTGTAGGTGATTTCATGCCGATAGCATCGTGGACACCTGGATTATCGCCTGTAATTACACCAATATTTAAAAATATTTTTATATTTTTATTACAAATAATGGGTGTATTTAAAATTACATGAGAAATTAAATCTTTGAATATCTCATTAATACAAAGAACTACCATGTCTTGGTTTTTTATTTTCTTTCTAACTCCTTTAATAATTACAGAGATAGCAAATCTAAGAAAATATTAAAATAACAAAAATAATTAATTAAATTTACACACTACATATATATATGTAATTATCCCATACCGATATAATTCTTTTTTAGATTGTATTAAATTTGGTGAGTCTAAATTAATGTAAACTCCCAAAGCAGACTTGGATTTATTAAATTGAAATGAGTCTGAAAAGACGTGGATCATAATAAAATTGTAAGATGAGTTCAATCCAAACGTTTCGAAATGTTCTTGATCGGAAAGTACAGTTTGTATTAAATTTACGATATCTAAATAAAATATCTTACCGATACCATTTACAGTTGATTCTTTAATAATTGATATCGGTAATTTCTAAATATTAAGTCTATGTTAGCAAGCAAACATCTCAATCTTTCTAAATCTTTGTGTTCAACATACCATGCGATAATAACTCTCACTAATGGTTTCCATTTTGGCATATGTGATTTTATCATAGTTATCTTCATCGTCTCCGAAATGTGGATTAAATAGTCTCTCTATTTCTTTAATAGATGTATCTATATATATTTGTTAACAAATCTACGAACTTAAGCACAAGATCATTTCAAATTGTAATACTTACAATTGAAATAATGACTTCTAACACAATTTAAATAATATTGATGAATCCCTGGCATTCCATTTCTTTGTTCTTGTGATATATTCAAGTATATCTCTTTTTTGATTATTTTATTTTTAACATATACTGTCCTACTAACTGCTACTGTGTCTTTAGTTGGGTAGATATATTTATAATTATTCTCTATTGATTTAGTTGTAACTTGAAAATATTTATTATAAATTTCATCCAATTCTGGGTCATCAACTGTACTATAATCCATTTCAGTATATTTTCTTTTTGATTTTGTATCTAATAATAGTATTCCATTGATTATAAGTAAATTAGCATTATTATTATTATTATTATTATTATTATTATTATTATTATTATTATTATTATTATTATTATTATTATTATTAATATTACTATTCATTATTGTTTAATTCTGAGCATAGATATAATTAAGATTAAAAAAATTTAATAAAATTAATAAAATAAGCAACATTTTTTTACGATCATTTGTTGAATCATTATTTTCCATTATTTATTTTTAAATAGTTCTTCTTTTTATATCACATGTAGTGCACTACATATGTAGAGTTAACTTTGTTTGGGTTCATGTTACTGCTATAAGTAAACCATCATCTTTTGTTAGTTAGCAGATCGATACTTTTCTACAGTGATATCACAATCACATCATTCACAAGTTATAATTATTTAATTATTTATTTATTTATTAACTATTTTATTATAATCAAATTAAATAATTGTTTAATATAAGTTTGTTTATTTTTATTAATAAAAACTGTGATTTATTATTATCATCATCGACAACATATCTGATCAAATAACAATAATGAGATAAGAAATAGTAGAACACAACCAATAGTTATTAATAGTTTGCCTGTTAACAATTATATGGAATTGGTAAGATGTTTAGTTTATTAGAAATAAAAAACGATTAAATGTAATTAATTAAAATATCGATAAAGAAATAGAGTATCTCTGTGCACAAAAGTAAATAGAATATCAAAGCAATTTACAACAAATAGTTACAAGATTAAAATAAACATGCCACAACAACAAGAACAACAACATGAATATCAAATAGTATGTCATTCCAGTGTATATTTAATTGATGTTTAGAATGTGAACTAACAAAAAAAAAAAAAAATAGATGGTGTCGATATAGTGAAGAACAACAACAAGAACAACTACAGCAAAAAGTCCAACAAGAACAACAACATGAATAACAACAAGAACAACAAGAACAGCATCTATTTATTTATTATTTTAAATAGTAAAGGTTAAACGATCTATCAACAACGAGGGAACACAGAAATAAAAATAAAAAAAAATTATTAATAAGGTCAAAAAAAAATATTTTTTTTATTAATTTTATTTTAAATTTTCTGGTTTGTATTACCAAATGTGTAATAATATTTACAATGCTTTGGTTTGACATAAAAACAAGCTCTAAGATACTTAGAATGCACCTGGTACACATTTCTCAATTTTCGAACAAACCGACCATTGAAGTAGTTGGTTCCAAGTTTGAAGATAATCAAACTATTCTTTTCCAAATCTTCAATCGTTCTTTTTTCTTTGTAGTAGGGCTTGAGCTTATCGAATTCCAACGTTTCGATTTCATTGCCATCTTCGTATTGGATATCTGCGGTTTTTGATTGTTCATCAATACTCAAGACAGTCCCCACATGCCAAGTGTTAACGTGTCCTTCAATAGATGTTAGACCCTCCACTCGCATTTTCTTTTTGATTGGTGTGAGAAATTGCGGTCTACATTTAATGACTTTCCTTTTTAGATTGCTATCATATGAATCCAATGGTTCTTGACAATTTGATAAAGATGGAGACTCCACAGCTGTGTCTAATGAATGTTGACCAATGTGTTCCATAAGATCCATTTCCAATTTCATTTGTGAATTTGAATTGATAGAGTTTTCATCAAAAAGTGGGTGCTGTTCCAATTCCAAATGTGAAAAGGAATCATGATATGGATAATTTGATTCCATATCATGATTGAAATCATTGGAACTATCATTGTTGTTGAAAAATGATTCCAAAAGAGATTCATGAGAGTTTGATAGAGTAGATGGTTTAGTTGGTGATGTGAAAGAAAATTTTTTGGTGAAATCCGGTGTGGGTGGTAGGTTAAAATATTGATTAAAAAAAGATATTTTTGATCAAAAATTTTTTTTTTAAAAATAAAAAAATTAAAAAAAAATAAATGATTTACAAATAAAAAAAATAAAAAAAAATAAATGATTTACAAATATAAATTAACTATATTTGAAAAAACATAAATAATATACCTCGTGTATTTGACTTGTTGAAATGAAACAAATGAATTCAGTTGTTGCTGCTTTTATAGTTTTTAAGATGATTTTGTAAAATTTGCATTCTTTCTATTAAAGCTCGTTCACGCTGTGTTTATTGGGGTACATTTCCTTTTTTGATCAAGATATTTTTTATGCAAAAACTCAAAAAAAAATGTTCAAAAAATATGGTTTTAGTTTTTACTGTGGTTCATCTGTTAGGATTAGTTGGTAGTCGGAGTGGATTGGAGATATAATGCATTCTAGGTTGATTGGTTGTTTGTGATTCATGGCGATTTGAATTTTTACAATACTTTTGGATTCAATTGATTGGTTTAACACTGGTGAATATATTATTGTTGATCTTGGAATGAGTGGAAGGTTTTGCACTATGGATGGGTCAATAATATTATGAGTGGAACCGGTATCTACTAAGCACATGAATTCTTTATCTTCGAGCGAGAATGGCATTATGTTGTTCTCCAGTAGTTCTTTGGGTATTTCAATATTGCTTCGCTTCTTGCTGGCTTTCGTAGGTTTTTTGGTTGGTTTTTCATCGTCCAATTCGTGGTCAATTGTGGCATCGGCTGGTTCGTTATTCGTTGTGGCATCGGCAGTAACATCGGTCATGGTATTGGTGACATCGGTCGTGGCTGTGGTGACATCGGTCGTGGCTGTGGTAACATCGGTTATGGTATCGGTCATGGCATCGGTCATGGTGTTGGCGACATCGGTCTCGGTCTCGGAATTAACATCGGTTATAGTTTCGGTATCGGCATCGGCAGTGGTTCTTTCATCGGAATGAACTGGTTGGTTGGACACTTTGGTTTTAACAGCATCAGCTTGGTCAATGTTAGAGTCAGTGTCCAGAACTTTAACATTGTTGACTATGACGGTGGTCAAAGTCTTACTTATTTGTGCAGGCTTTGGAGTTGTGGCCTTTCTCACCACATTTGAAACAAACGCCGGAGCGAATTGCTTCTTGTTTTTCTTGGGTGGTCCATGTTGACTTGTAATATTTGGATTCTTCGTATTTCTTTGGTGCTTGGCGAAAGCTGTTAGGTTTCTTTGACTGGAACGTGGTTGAGCTGGTAGTGTTGGCGTTGGTCTTGGAAACAGTTAGATATTGGCCTTTGGATTCGAGTCTGGTGGCTTCCTTCTGGCAAGTGGATAGTGTGCTTGGATTGAGGATGTCAAGTTGGAACACAAGTCTTTCGTCGAGTCCTCTTTGGTATGCTTCGATCTTGGTTCTTTCTGAGTCGTTATTCAGAAGGTACGCGAGGTGGTTGAATTCTTGGTTGTATTCATCGATCTTTCCAGGTGTTAGCTTAAGTTTCCTTAGTTTGGCTTTGTTGGTTTCGTCAATGGCGGCAATACCATAGTGGTCGGCAAGTCTCATCGAGAGATCATCGAGTGTTGCTGGTTTCTCTGCAAGTCCGGCATACCAATTAAGAACGGTTTCATCTAGCGCGAATTGTAGGTAGTTCGAATAATCTTGTCCTTCTGGTAAAGATGAGAGAATAAACATGGCTTTTGATTTCCATGCTTCAATGTTGTCTCCAGCTTTCCATCTGATTTGGTTGAGCAATGTGAGGACTGATTGTTTTGTTCTGATTGCGTCCATTGTTGGATTGTCGTTATCAAATTCGTCTGTTGATTGGTAATCTGAATCTGAATTAAATAATTGTTCTGATTGAGTGTCTGATAGTTGTTCTTCTGATTGTATGTCGGATAGTGATTCTGATATTGATTTTGATTCTGATTTTTCTAAATCTTCGATACGTAATTCTCTAATTCTGATTTGTTCTTGCTCTTCGTTTATATTCATAGGGTATAATCTATTTCTCTTCTTGTTGCTGATTTCGTAGTAGTGTGGTTTGATGAATGGAATAGCAGGTTCTAAGTTAATTCTTTTCATACAAAAATTACTAAATATGGCAAAAACAAAATTTTGTCATTCGGACAAAGTCAAATTCCTAATGAAAATCTTTTCAATTTAAGAACAGTGGGGTGATTTTTCAAAATCACTTGTTGATTGGTTGTTGTTTTAAAAATAAAGATTAATTTCAATTAAAATTTAATTTAAAAGTGTTGTTATAAATATAAAAAAAAAGTTTAAGACTAAGGTTATATTTAAGTGATAAGAAAATGAATAATGAACGTTTGCAATCGTGCAGTTTATTTATATACTTGTTGTTGCAGTTGGTAGATCTATCTAGATCTAGTTGATCTATAACTTAAATATAAATTAGTCCTATATCATATATCTGTAGTTGTATGCTGTAATTGGTAACGAGCATCTCTTACAGGTATGTATTTATTTTAGAAACTGAACTATTACTATTACTAATACTACTACTACTACTACCACTACTACTACTACTAATACTACTAATATAATTATTTTCATTTTCAACTCGGTACTCTCGAACAAAATATTTAAGCCATAATTTATTATTTCAATTTCCTCATCATTGAATATACACTTCTTGTTATCATTTTCTTTGGTAGACTCTGGTTGCTCCAACTTAAACTTAAACATATAGTTTTTCCATCTTTTAAAAAAAAAATCATAACTAGAATAATATAATATATTCTGTATACAGGTAACAATTAAAAAAAAAAAAAAATTAAAAAAAATTAAAAAAAAAAATTAAAAAAAAATTGTGGGTGACCACACAACTGCCAAATTTTTTTTGTTTTTCAGTGAGGATGAGAATCTTGCTTGGGGTTCAAAAGTACCTACTACGTTTTACCAAATATAGGTGCTTTTTTTCAATTATTTTTATAAAAAAACATGCCAACAATGTGTGAGATAGGGGTTTAAATCATTTTTTTAGACGTACGAGTCCCCGGAGTGATTAAAACTTTATAAATATATTAATACTGGTAATTGAAAGAATAGAATACATTAAATCAATGAATTAATGAATAAATAAATCAAGCAATATTTGAATCAATAATAGAATCATTTATTCGATTAGTAATTTGGTTAATTTTTAGAGTAATACTGTAGTTTCTAGAATAATCGATATAAAATCACATGTAATTTAACAAAATTCGATCTCTGTAAATAAAAGTTTTTGTTTTAAAAACTAGATAATCAATTCTATCAAATATAGTAAAAAGATTATTCTTCATAGCAGTTTTCATAGATAAAAACTCCTGCCCATAATGCAAAATTAATTTATAATATTTTTTAAACTTTTATCAATTCATAAAGAATCGAAATTATAAGATTTAAAACAGCTTTTTATAGCAATTTAAAGCAACTCCCATCTTAATTCTCAAGATTTATCTTGCCAAAAATGTTTGGACAAAATGCAAAACTAAAAAATATTGTTATATACTTTCAATCAATTATTCAAGATTTCAATTACAGAATTTAAAGATAGTTATTACACTCCAATTTATCTGCAACCCGCATATTAATCGTCAGGTTTACCTGATGATTAATATGCGGGTTGCCACAGGGCATAGCCCCGGGTTGCCACAGGGCATAGCCCCGGGTTGCCACAGGGCATAGCCCCGGGTTGCCACAGGGCATAGCCCCGGGTTGCCACAGGGCATAGCCCCGGGTTGCCACAGGGCATAGCCCCGGGTTGCCACAGGGCATAGCCCCGGGTTGCCACAGGGCATAGCCCCGGGTTGCCACAGGGCATAGCCCCGGGTTGCCACAGGGCATAGCCCCGGGTTGCCACAGGGCATAGCCCCGGGTTGCCACAGGGCATAGCCCCGGGTTGCCACAGGGCATAGCCCCGGGTTGCCACAGGGCATAGCCCCGGGTTGCCACAGGGCATAGCCCCGGGTTGCCACAGGGCATAGCCCCGGGTTGCCACAGGGCATAGCCCCGGGTTGCCACAGGGCATAGCCCCGGGTTGCCACAGGGTAAGGGTAAGGGTAAGGGTAAGGGTAAGGGTAAGGGTGGGGTAAGGGTAAGGGTAAGGGTAAGGGTAAGGGTAA